ATAGATAGATAGATAGATAGATAGATAGATAGATAGATAGATAGATATGAGAGAGACAGACAGACAGACAGACAGACAGACAGACAGAGATAATAAGTAGATGCTTTATATTGATAGCTGGAAGGCCCATAGTTGAATGCATGAACACATATATGTATATAATTTTTTATGACTTTCCATATAACTCTTTTGGGGATGATGCTGATGAAAAAAAACCCATGTTATCGTTTAATTTCTAAGTATAAGCAGCTTGACTAAAATATGATAGCAGTAATTATAATATGATTTGCAGTTGCTGATGTTATCTGTTTGAACATGGAATTCTAGTGTTTAATAAAATTATCATCTCAAATTTAGCAGGAATCTGGTTAATGGTGCTTTTAGGGTGGGAGCAATAGCAGGAAATCAAATGCCATCAGGGGATTTGATTATGTTCATACTTGTTCACTGCAACACTTAATTTTTCCTTCTCTATTCTTCCCCTACCATGCTACTTCCTGATAAGGAATTGGAAGGAAAGAGTGATAAACTGTTCTCCGGTTTATCACTCTTTCCTTCCAAAGACAAAACTACTTTATGCCTATTTAGGATGAAGCTCACGGTTAAGTCAAATTTTTATATATTCTGGAGAACATGTAAACTTTTTGATGATTGGAGAAGGCTAAATGCGGATCCTATCTTCCAAAAAGAGAGAAAAGAAGGATCAAGGAAATTAAACTGCCTGATGCTCTTAATGGCCTCTCCAGATTTAGGATTCCATGAAGGAGGAATGCTAGGAGGAAGAAAAAAAACCTAATGAGTTCATGGGGAAAACAGAGCATCTTGTGACCTCTGAAGGATATTCCTCCTCAAATCCAACAGAGCCACTGGCCTGAAGTAAACTTAGAAATTTGTTTGAGTAATATGAGATATACAGAATATTAATAGTTCCACCTTCTTTTTTTTTTTTTTTTTTTTTTTTTTTTTTTTATTGTTTTTTTTGGGGGGGGGATTATGTGTGTATGTGTTTTGTAATTTTTTCTATTCTTTTCTCTTGTTAAGAAATAAATAAGGAGATAAGGAGAATCCATGACCTCAGTGCCTTCCACCGTGCCCTTAAAACCTTCCTTTTCCAACAAGCCGGGCTGGCCTAATTCTTTTTAAGTGTTTTTAATTGTTTTGTTTATTGTTTTAATTAATGGGGCCAAATTTTTATATATATTTTTAACTGTATTTTAATATTTGTATTTGATGTTTTTATTTGGCTGTTCACCGCCCTGAGTCCTCAGGGAGAAGGGCGGTATACAAATTCAAAAATAAAATAAAAATAAAATAAATAAAATAAATAATAATTTTAAAAAGGTTACCATTGGATCTGATAAATGGATAAATCTAAGCAGAAGCAATCCTTTGGAAGGAGAGTTTTAAATGTTGAACAAGTGGCTCTTTAAAAGCGAAGTTAAAAATGAAACAAGCTAGAGCTAACTTTTTAATGAATAGAAAATTGTGCTAACTAAAGTGTTGGTTATTTTAAAATGATAAAATCATCAAAGAAAAGAAAAGAAAAGGTGACTTTTAATCCTCCCCTTCTATTTCATCCCCTCATGCACATATGCAGAGTTAATAAAGTTACCTGAATATTGAAGGCTGCCTGCAGGGTGTTCACTTGAGTCATTACTACTCATTCTTAGTAATTTTCTTCAGCCTCAAGGTAGCAGTTTAACACTGTGACCCCCCCCTCCCATTTCTTTCCAATGAAGCTTATACACTTCTATATGCCTTTCAGAATAAGCCCAGCTCTGTGATTGTGCCAATGTAAAAATAGACTTGTAAATTTGGCACTGAAAATCCCATGTGTTGTATTAGGGATGCTCGGCAGGACAGACAGGTGGTTTGTTCATACTTCCAGAAATGTTAGGAACAAACTCACCAAAAGATTAGTGGCACATATAATGAGATGGCAGTTAACACTTATTAATACTTAAGTCATTTGTTCTGTATTGGTTTAACGTGACTAACAATATTGTTTTAGGGCATGTGAAATAAAGGCTTCTTGCACATCTCAAGTGCCCCAGGATGATTTCCCCATAAGTTAATGAGAATCCTTTCAAACCTTAACAATTGGGTTTATAAGGATATATTTAGAATGTTGGTATTGGGAATTAGATGTGCAGGGGCTCTTTCTAACTGCATGTCAATGATTGCATGGTAAGTTATCTACCGTATTTTTCGGAGTATAAGACGCACTGGAGTGTAAGACGCACCTTAGTTTTTGGGGAGGAAAATAAGAAAAAAGCTGACTGGCGGGTGGATTGGCCTCCCGGAATACCCTCAATCAGCTGTTCCCAGAGGTTCACTTTTTTTTCTGTCTCTGAAAGCTTCAGAAACAGAGCTTCAGAAAAAAAGCTTCTGAAACTTAATTTCAGAGGCTTTTTTTCTGAAGCTTCATTTCTGAGGGTTTTTTCAGCCTCTGAAACCTCCATTTGAGAGGCTGGGTGGGGCTACATTTGGAGTATAAGGCGCACCCAGATTGTCACCCTCTTTTGGGGGGGGGAAAAAGGTGAGTTATACTCTGAAAAATACGGTATATATTATTCCAACCTGAATGATAAGAATTAGAGATTCCATTATGACTGGTATAATGAGATCAGTCATGAGACCAGAGAAAAGAAAATTAAATCAGTTTCAGTCCCAATCCACTCAGCCTTAACAATGAAATTTAGAAATCAGTAGTATTAAAATATTGAAAACATAGCTTTCAAATTTGGCCAAACTCTTGACTCCATGGGATTGTTGCAAATGCCATGCATATTAAGGTTATGTATGTCTATTATTTTTTTCCTAACTTACTTCTCCTCTGTTAAACTGGATTACAATTCCCCCAAATCCCAGATATATACTATACTGAATGATAGTTATGGAAGTTGGGATCCAACATATTGGAGCCTTGGTAGTACAGTGGTCTAAAGCACCCTGTTATTAAGAACAGCTGCCTGCAATTACTGCAGGTTCGAATCTCACCAAGGCTCAAGGTTGACTCAGCCTTCCATCCTTTCTAAGATAGGTAAATTGAGGACCCAGTTGTGGGGGCAATAAGCTGACTTTGTATAAATATACAAAAGAATGAAGGCTATTGCTTAACGCACTGTAAGCCGCCCTGAGTCTCTGGAGAAGGGCGGCATATAAATCAAATTAAAAAAAAAAAACATATTCAGAGGGCACTAATTTGTTTGCTATTTGGCTGAGGTTGAAGAAATCCAATGTCTGTTCAACAAAATATTTCCTGGGAGCTGAAGAATTTCCAGAGAAAAGCACGCTATTTGTAGTCCCCATGATATTCTTTATCCCTTTATATTATAAGAAATAAAGGAAAAGTATATTTCTGGCATTACCCTGTTTTCCCCAAAATAAGACATCCCCTGATAATAAGCCCAATCAGGCTTTTGAGCGTATGGCAATAAGGCCAAGCGCTTATTTCAGGGTTCCAAAAAATATAAGACAGGGTCTTATTTTCAGGGAAAGATGGTAGTAGTTTACAATTGCAATCCCAACAATGGCCAGATATGGACTTATTTGCAGGGCATGAAAGAAAGGGACAAAGGGCAATATTTTGACAATATTCTTCAGAATTGACTTTCTAAAAGATTTTCGGGGGGGGGGATGGGAATTGCTTTTGGGAGGACAAATGGTTCAATTATAGTGCAATTTTTGTTTCTATTGCTTGTTGGAAATTCTATATGAATTGCAATGGTAAAGGGAGCCATTATAGAGCCATAGCTTTCTGGATGGGAGTCATGATCCCTCCTTCCTACAGCTGAAGTATAGCTATGCAAGTGTTTACCAATGCTGATTCTTGATTCCATTCATGCTTCAAAAGTTCCATTGGACAACTTTTCCAATTTAAGCTATACTATCAAATAGAAGGCAGG